ATATATATATATATATATATATATATATATATATATATATATATATATAACAAAACAGTTCTGAATTACCGCAGAAAGTTTTAGAATCCGGTGATTCGTAAAAAAAGGGTCATACCAAAAAAACTTGAATAAACACCAGCTCGGTTGTTAACGCCATTGGCGTGCTACACCGTGTTGAAACATCCTCTGTTTGATATAAACCATTATGGCATATGCTGGTAATTTTTGAAGCTTACAAGCCTAGCGTTTCAGTGCTTCACTGCAGTAAAGAAGAAACATTACACTATTTCTTGTACATAATTCAAGGTTTCAAACATTGAAATCGATATGAAGGAATGCGCCAAGACATCGTAGTTCTCAATAAACAATCATTTGGTAGATCCCAGTAAACTACTAAGCCCTCTCTACAGTGTTCCTTTACGACGACGTAGCTGCTTTCCTACATGGACAATTCTCATGTTCATTTCCTTTATCTACCATTTTATATGATCTAGACGGCGAAGGCAGCACACTGGTCAGTAATGCAGTCCATCGCGAAGGAATGTACTCGTTCGACGCCCTTTCCAACACTCTCCTCCATTCCAAGTGGGATGTCTCCGTTCGGCTATCTCCAAGATTGCAAGGAGACTAGACCAGCATTCTTAGACATCTATAAAGGAGACAACATCCTCAAGGAGCTGCCGAGACAACACGCAGTTCGAAGACCTTCGTATATGATGAATGCGAGTGTCGAATGCAGGAAGTGCTGGGATCCGCACGGTAAATGCGACGACAGGTCCGTCCCACAAAATCGAAAAAAAAGAAAAAAATCTATACGGTCCTAATTTACAAACTGTATAGATCTTAACACTTGCATCCGATTCATTTCTTCATTCTCATTAACAAAATTGCTCAAAATTTTTCGCGTGAGTTCAGCTGACGCTTGAGAATTCGTCGTTCTCAATGTCCTTGAACGCCGGCCAAGTGGATTCTCTTCAGAATCGAGTGGGTGCGCTAAGGCGTTCCTAGACAAATCGACTAGCAATTCACTCATGAGCGGTCATTCAACCATACATTATCCGTGTCATAATTTTGATAGAACATTTCATCATCAGCAAATGAAAAGTTATGAAGCAAATCCTACCCTTGTGATGGTTCCGTAGCAATTCACAGAATGTTCTTCGGAGTACTTCCTTTCTTTAAATACAACAAAACAGTAAAAATTACCCATATTCATTACGTACGACATAACAACAACTGTTACATTATTATGCAACAAAACAGAAGCATGAGATTGGGAAAGAGCGATAATTATCTGAGGACGTTGTTTACAACACTTAAGTCGTAATCGCAATCGCACTTCCTTTTTAAGTCTTCCATTACTTTTATATTCACAGTATCGATGACAAATCATGTCTCTTCATAATCTTCCAGTACACCTTCCAAATGCTGGTTCTGAACTTTAATATTATGACGGCGTTTTGGAGTCTTTCGTTTCAACGGTCCCATGCCAATTTTCTTCGGAGCAAGATCCTAAAAACAACGAATTGAACTCGGTTATATTGGAATCTAACTGAAAGTTTTCAATGATTACCTTCATTGTATCGATTCCGTGTTTTTGCAGATACTCTTCAATTTTCTTCTCATCCAAATGATCTACAGACACTTTCCGATAAATCTGCTTAAATTCTAAAATAAAAAACGAAGTGCCCACATTGTGTAATTGGTTAAACTTATCAACTGTTAGTTTATGTTGAATGAAAAGCTTCAATATCGTTATAAAGCAAAGTTCGACTACAAACACATCCATAAGCTGTCGCTGACAAGATTTCCAAGCTATTTCAAGCAACAGAAAAACGTGGGTACTATGCAACATCTACAACTACCTTAACTTATTTTTAATCCATTTCTGTTAAAACGCCATCATTACGACCTTTAAAAAAAATCAGACCTTTGAAAAACACTCCCAAACTAGCAATTTTCCAACAGAACCTTCAGTCCAATTTTCATTCGTTAACACTGGGTGCAAAAAACACATCTTACGAGAACGTTTTCGCGCAGTCTATAAGTATGCGAAAGTTGACCGCACTTTCAAATGCAATTTTTTAACCATAAATGAGAATATTGTAAGGATCTCACTACTAGTTTTGCTACGATGCATTATTATGCCTCATTAAACTCTGCGATGCACGATCCATTAGCCCAAACGATGCACGATCCATTAGCCCAAAGACCCTCTCCTATGCGATTAGGGCTACTCAGTATAAAGGACGAGAGCCACTAAGAGCTTCTCAAATTCACACTGTTTCTCACAAGTCAACATATACTGGTTTCTGAATTATAACAAGTTGCCTATGATGCGAAATATTCTAGACCCTTTTGCGTTCTTGTTTACAAGAAATTCTCCGTCCCCATGTTTACTTACTAATTCTCATTCCACTCACTGTTACCAGTATCAACACTTGCACTAATTCCTAACGCCGACTTTTTATTAACCTCGACATTGATAAATAATCTCCTCTTTTTTGATAAGCACACATGAAGTTTTCTTATTATACACTATTTATTAACAACAACTAACGTCTCAGCAGATTTCGCTTTTTTCAAAGCCTGGAAAGGTCAAGTTAATGGCAACTTAGTCGGTTAAACAGCTGCAATGCACCTACAAGATATGTACGATACTTAACTTCCAATCGCACTAGAAATAAAGTTGCTTCTTCACATGCTAACCACTTATTTTGAGTCTTCTACTGCATATTCCACATGGAAACAAATCGTTCAGAGCTCGTATGGATGAGTAATGCACCCCTTTCACGTTAAAATACCAGATATCCTGAGATTTTGCGTGAGAGCTCGTATGGCGATGGGACATTCCCTCCTGTTGTCCAGTTTTGGATTCTCGGAATTTATCTGGAATGCTTCGATGATTCTATGTCCCGAAGTTTTAGATTCTTGTGCGAGAATGGTGATTTATACTTCGAAATCGTTCCCGCCATGGATGCGTCCTCTGTGTGCCCAGGAGAGTACTTCGTTTACGTTTATGTTTACCACCTAGGTGTTATACTATAGACTACATTTGTTTACTATCTCTCTTCCTTATCTCTATTCTCTATCTCTTCACACACAAAGGGTACTTGTGGGAAACACGTTTCGAGCAGTCACCAGTGTGTGCATAAAGATGGATCAGAAGGTAGAATCCCTGAAACTGACGCTGCAAATAGCCATTCTCGACACTTTATTTTATGTGATTCGTCATCTACTGTGCCGATCCTAGCAATTCTTGCGTTAGATTCTTTTCGAACATTTGGCATGCTGGTTCGGCTAATGCTTGAGGATTCCGTTTTCTTTATGAATCTCTTACAGTGCTGGTCGAATCAATTCATTTTGCAATCTTGGACGTTCCCACGAGTATTAGAGGAGAGCCTTGGGGCGAGAATCGAACTAGTACCTTTGCTTCCTCATCAGCGGCACTACTAACTACTGCGCTATCCTCACCTGCTAGCGAAAATAAGTTTAGGTTTACCCTACCCTTCATCTTCGGCGAAATAGGTGCAGCTATAAAACACTGCTCAAAAAGGGCCAGTCCAAAAAATTCGGTAACACGAGACTGTCAATATTGAATTTATTAGGATACAATAGCTGACGTTTCGGAGGTTTCACCTTCTTGAGAGCCGTTTATTTGTTGTATTTAAGTTAGTTGATGAATAGCAGCTACACAGAGTAATACATGGGCGACCATGAGTCTGAAGAAGGCGAAATCGCCGAAACGTCAGCTATTGTATCCTAATAAATTCCATAATAACAACCTCGTGTCTGCTTATTGAAGGAAAACATCGGATTATCAATCGACGCCGAGGTTAACAGAAAGTCGGTCTTGGAAATTCGGTAACAGTGATTGAAATAACCCGGAACACTCAGACGCCAGATAGTTTGTAACCAAATGTATGACCGCTTATGCACAACAAAAACTTGCCTAATTTACTCTAACGGTAGAGGCAGTGATTGCATGAGTTCGGGTACGGTGAACCTGATCGTTTGTAAAGCGTACGGAGACGGATATATTGGCGAAACAGGTGGAACACTACGCATTCGTGTAAAAAAGCACATACTTGGGAAATCTGAAATCAAACACAACACCCCATTATGCACAAACAGGACAAGAAGGTCTGAGGGAGAAGATTTTGAAGTAGAAGTTACCATTCTTGTACAGGAATTTAAAACTTCAACTAGTAAAATCCATCAAGCATTTTTGATAAATTTCAAGGTTTCAAAAATTAACAGCAGGGAGGAATGTCTTATATTAACGTCAGAGGAGCTGATTACTCATCTATATGAGGACTGTGAACGGCTGGTTTCCATATGGAATGCTAAGCTGGAGACTCACAAGAAACGGTAAGTGCACGAAGAAGCTGTTTTAACTCCAATGCGATTGAGAATTAGATATCCAAGCTTTTCTGCTAGGGTTATAGACGTGTTTGACTCACAAGATTGGAGTTCAAGTGACCCTTCCAAGTTTTAAAAAAGACGACATTCGCTCATACGTTAGCTGTTGTGAATAAATAGCATAGAAATAACAACTCCATGTTTGCTTATCAAAAAAAGAGCTGATCTCTACACTTTCCGAACCTCTCGTAACAAAATAACATCGTCTTAACAACTATGTTACATTTCCAAATTCAGTGTAAATAAACGAAATCATAGAGAGTTAATATAGTGAACTTAACATAAATCATTAGTTTCGAATTTTCATACCTTCCTCCACAAAAATGTCAAATTCTTGGTCGTTGTAGAAAAACACTTTGTCCTTTCGTTTGTTCACTTGAGTTGGTACCACAATAATCTGGTCACTGAGAGCCTAAATTTAGAGCGTTTGATAATTGTATTGGAGATATCACAGTAGCCTTAACTTGGATGTTTCCCCAATAATTATTAAAGTCATCTAGCAGTGTAACCAACATCTCATGAAAACCTCATCATCCTACCAAAAGCTTTGTAGAGTCCAATGAAGACAAATTGTGTGCACTTTTTACCTATTTTCTAGATATAAATATGATCTGAATCATATAAATTCCTGTTTTAATAGTAACGGGCATTCTAGAACAATTTTTGTTTCAATAGCGTTTTCTCATTAGTTAACACTGTCTTCCTGTAATCGTACGACAGCCATGGCATGGTATTCCCTGGTCTTCAAAACTGTTAGTAATCAACGCACTTTAATTAAAGGAAAATCTGCCGCCTTTCGACCAAATATCTCTTCAAGAGCTACGATTCTCATAATATGTCAACTGTAGCTGGACTTCCAGATAATGACCTCGAACTCATCAGCTTAGGTGACCACTTCAAATGATCTCCCGGTTTACATTATCGATACATGTAAACACTTCTACATAGGTCCCTATAGAATTGCTTGATTCTCTTGCTGTTCATTTCAATATTCTCTGCCTGTTCACCTGCCCTCTTCTGTCATCAGTAAATGTTGGACCGTCACCCTCCCTTTCGGTCTCTAAGACAGGATATCCCTCGCTCTAAAATAAGGAAACTGGATTGTGCCAAGTGGACCGGTTCATTTCAGAGAGCTTTTCGAGTGCGTTAGCGTTGCAGACTAGTTGTTCGATAAGGCTGAAGAATCACCCCATGTTCCGTAACAGAAATAGTCAAATATGCAGCCTTATTGCATACGGACGGAGAGGTAGAGAGAGCTCATAAGTGGCGTTTTTTAGCGGCCTATGCTTTGTTTTGTTCTTCGAATTCATTATCCATACTCATCAAACATCGTACATATACATAAGCTGTGGTCTTCTCATTCGGAGTGATTCATAGAGTATCTACCTTTAGATCGGTCGTTTTGGTGAACCCATTCTTCGAACAGATTTGTGGCCCTACACCAATTTTTTGCTCGAGTTCTAAAAGCATTATATCTGCTCCAACTAATCGATAGCTATGCCTTTTCTGTACCGGTCGACTCGACCGACTGAATACACTACTATCTTGTGAGAATAAACGCCCGTACGGATACATGTCCTTCACAAACTGGAAAAGTGAGTTGGCGAAAAACTGTATCGTCGTGATATATTTGCAATTTAATTAAAAGCGTTTTTGGATTGATTGCAACAGCGCACCGGTCACACCTAAGCAAACCAAACTAAATAGAACAATATTCAACACTTAGTCACAACATCGGTACTTAATAATAGTGCATGAAGAATAGGATAAGAGTTGTTGGAAATCCCCGAAGATCTCTACATAACTAACAGGGTTTGGAAGTAATCCATGTAACCCCATGCGAAATTCAGCTTGCTCATTAGAAGCTCTGGATGGTGATGATCTTTGTGGAAAATGTAAATACCAGAAGTCATCCACCTATTCCAAATGCATTCCACTTGCAAGAATTACCTCATGTGTGCTGCAAGCTGTTTTAGTTAATGGGATACATCTCGGCCAGGTAGCTGCATTACGACTATTCGTTTCGTTTACCAATTGCTATTCAGGAATTGTGTGTAAATTCAGCTTCGGCTTGAAAATATTTCTTCATCTATCTTCACTGACGTGAATTACGGGATAATCATGTGAATGAACAATCACATTCATTCACCATAAGCAGTCTCTGTCTTTGTGGATCAAACAGAATCCTAACGTACTGCGATTAGGATACTTCGCACACAGATGTGACTATACAATCAAGTACAAACGAACTGACGATGGCGAACTACCAGATCAGTCAAAATAGTGTTTGGTCCAAAGAGCAAGACAGATATGCTTTAATTTCTAACTGGGACTTGGCGTTTTCTGGAAAACACCTTTAACACAGATTGTTAGTGCGGATAGTTATATCCAATAGAGATACTGTGGATATGAAATGGTTTGCATAGAATCTCGCTCATATACATTAAACCTCATGTAGGAAATCTGCCGCTTGCCAGCCTTCATCGAATCACGTTAATAACGGAATACTGTAATCGGAATACGGAATACTTGCAGATTTCCATGATAATTCTCCACGTCCTTTTTTGTGCTACTCCGAGAACCCTTCTTTGTCAAGGTTTCTGGAAAATCTCCTAGGATACTTCATGCAAAGTGGTACCGAAAACCAAGTAACATTCACACACAAAGAGGGTGCTTGTGAGAAACATGTTTCAAACAGCCACCTCTGTGTGCAGAAGCAGGGAACTAAAGGAAAAATGGCTCGACTTGTCTCGGCAAATAGCCATATCCAATGGCTACGAAACTGTAACCTCAGGAAATAAGTTTCGAAGGAGAGTGACGCTCCAAAGCGAATCGTTTGGCGGAAACGAAGTCCCGTTTATCTTGTCGTTCATTAGCGATGAAGCAATGTTTAAGAAGGGCAGATCTAGAGGAGTCGGTAGCGATAATTGAAACACCACCAAATACTGTTCGTCGTCAGTTAGTTCGTAACCGCCTATATGACTGTGTATGTAAAACACAAAACTGAGTAATCTGCCTTTATGGCAGGGACCATGACTGCGTGAGTTCAGGTACGATATACCTGATCTCTTGTGGTACTTGCGGAGACGAATATATTGGCAAAACGGGCATACCTTTATGTATCCGCATAAAAGAACACCTAGATGGTAAACGAAAAACGAGACAAAATACCCCACTAGGGACGAGTAGGATACAAAAGCATAGCGGAGACTATTTTGATATAAAAGTCGTACATATTGTGTTGATGAGCAATCATTCAAACATATAACGCAACATGATCTAGTCACAAGTTTCATTCTACAAACTCATTTTCAAGACTTATATGTTAACCATCCATAACGTCTCTAGGTGAATAAAAGGTTGCATGGAACAAGTTCGGAGATCTCTTAGCAGCTCGTTTTAATATTTTGCTGGATCCTAAGCTCCGCCTCTGTCATAATTGAATGTGGCATCATCGAGGACGTACATCGCTAATTCCTTCCATAAGAAAGGTTTCAATCCTGCATTACATGGTTAAAGATAACACTCGAACAAAAAAGGTGGCGATTTCATCATGTGTTAAACAATGGAATGACGCCAAATTAAAACATCCATTCTCATTTGCTGACAAGGATATACTCGATCATCACACGCGTGGTAGCTTTTTGAGATTCCCAGACCTAGCGGAGACGAGTGTTCTTTTTTTTTTTGAAATAGACAGACTGCCGAGAGAAGCCTGGGAGAGATAACCACTTATACATTTTGATTACCCACACTAATATATCAAAATATGGAGTAAAACTAACATTGAAAATGTGTTCTACATGTAAGAAAAGAATCACGGACTAAGATTCCCGCTTTAAAGAATAGGAAATTACAGTTTAGCTAATAAATTTGGTATATGCCGACATAGAATATATCCGTACATGGCTGTTCTTACATTTATCAAAAAATTTCCCTTGATACCACTTAATGTCTCCCAGAATGGTTTCTTTACCCCAGAAGAAACTCACACAAAAAGCAACAGAAGTCCCATGAATTAACAAGGGATACACCTGTCATCACGGAACACCTGTGCAACACCTGAAAACCCCCTAGTACGGACTTCTTGTGCCTTTAAGAAACCTCGCTCGATCAGCAAAACAGTAGTCAAACGACAACTGTGCAGGAGAACCCGTAACTCTGTGCAAACGGACCAACAAAAAATTCAAGTGGGTAATTCGTGATTTCACACAGAACCCGTAAAACACGCTCACCTCTAACACCTTTTCCCCATTTGGAATGCAATCGTTTAATTCAGACAACAAAATACCTCCACGTATATCTTCATGGTGCTTCTTTGCCACTGCTACCTGAACAAATCATAAAAGGTACGTGACGAAAAAGCAGAAGGAAGGCAAAAATGTTTATGACTACTCAGGATAAAAAACAAATGCCACGAAAGCCTTTGAAAAGTCACCTCGGTAAGGAGGTTGAACTACCCATTGATGCTTTAATAGTACAGAATTCTTACAAGTGATACAAAATCAAGGTGAAAAAATGAAGGAAGAAGAAAAAAGAACCTAGAATATCATGTCTACTACGACTTCATTCTTCCGCACAATATTTACAAAAGAAGAAGAAAGCATAAAACTTGAAACAGCAAGTCATTTGCGACGTGACTAATTTTTAATATTTCTTATTGAGTGATAATAAAATGAGAGGAACAAACCAATGACGTCTTTCCTTTGATCTTATATGGAGGTTTGTATGAGAACTTCGACTCCTCATCGTACGTTAACCTTGGATTCTTCGGAAGTGCCTAAACAATGACAAGTTACATTTCAGAGACAAACGATAGCGTTATAGTAGTGGTATTCAGAGCCGGTAATAGTCCTAATAGTAACTTTATGAAGAAGTGTTTCATTTGTAATACCTCATGATAAAATCGCAGAAAGAAACAGACCATTTAGTTTCAATAAGATAAGACATTTATGAGCTTTACCCTACTCTTGCACCTGAAGGTGATTAAAGAACAATGTTATGAACAACCTACTCAAAACTAAGCACAAAAGTGGATTAGTAAAAATAGCTACACAGTCACAGAAAAAAATAAAGAATTTCTACACTTCACAGCTTCCAAAACTAAGTTGAGTGGAAATAAAACAGCTAAAACTAGGTAAAAGGAAAAAGCTGTCGGCTTGATCAATCCCTAAGAGATGTGTAATGCATTCGGCTTCACTAAGCAACGTTGGAGGTGATCGAATGCATATCTGACCTTTACAATGACTCGCGGGGGCCTACCAATGTGTCGAGCCAGTGCTGCTATCCTTCCAGACAAATATGGTACTGATGCGGGATCGACCTCAAGTGTATTGCAGGGTGCCTCCAACCACGGCGCTACATACGCCCCTTTAGGAATATTATGTAGGAAATAAAATAAAGGGGAGATTACCAATGGATATAGACAAATAAACAAATCACCGCAATAAAACTGAAAATGGAAAACTCTATTCACTTAACAAATAGTCTTACCTCCTTAAGCCAAGCCTCCGATCTTTTAGACAGATCATATACTTGCAATTCGTCCAGTATTTCTTGTAACGACAATGGCCACTGTTGTTGACTAAGATGTCGTTTCTACAAAGTAAGTAAGCACGTCAAATGAAGTCAGTAGCCGACGTTAACGGTGATTGTTTCTCTGTAAAAAAAAGAAAAAGGGTCCCTATCGCATACCTTCATGTAGTCGACAATTTTGGCCATGGTACCAAAGTTAGCAGCATTACTATGTGATACAATATTCTTGAAGTCGAATTCTGGTGCTTAATGAAGTTGTATGCAAATAAAAACATAAAATTGAAGAAAAGTAGAAAAGAGAAGCTCGATCAAAACGAAGTTCCAACATGAAATAATCCTTTATATTCTTGCTGAGCAAACACGAGATGTTATTTCACCCTTTATTCCGGCAAAGCTAACCTTTAAGGCAGATTTTTCCTTTCCCAGAGCCTGGCAAAGTCAAGTTGATCGCAATCTACTGATGCTATTCAATGGTCTACTGTAGATTGCGGTCAACTTAACATTACCAGTCTCTGAGGAAGGCGAAATCCGCAGGTTAGCTTTACCGGAACGAAGAGTGAAATAACACCTCATGTTTGCTCAACAAGAATATCGAAAGATTTTCTTCGTATTTTTGTTGAGCAAACTCGAGGTGTTACTATTCTTTGTTCACGACTAAGCTGACGTTTCGGCGGATTTCGCCTTCTTCAGAGCCGCTTTCTATGAGGTTTCCACCAAGTATGTCACGTAGAGACCAACCGCACAGAAATCACGTGGAAGTATAATGTACATTATACTATACTATATACTATAATATATACTATATACTATATATATACTATACTATACTATAATATATACTACTATATACTATACTATATACTATATACTATAATACTATATACTATGGTACTATACATTATACTATACTATATATTATAGTATAATGTACATTATACTTCCACGTGATTTCTGTGCGGTTGGTCTCTACGTGACATACTTGGTGGAAACCTCATAGAAAGCGGCTCTGAAGAAGGCGAAATCCGCCGAAACGTCAGCTTAGTCGTGAACAAAGAATAGTAACACCTCGAGTTTGCTCAACAAAAATGCGAAGAAAATCACTTGATCAATGCCGAGGTTAATAGAAAGTCGGTCGTGGCAGAATATCGAGAATTATTTAACCACTGCCGAGGTTAATCGAAAGACCGTCGTAGGAATTAAACATGAAGCTTAGCGAGACACGTCTTACCAGGTTTAGGAGCGGGCTGGGGTAAAACCTTCTTCTTTTTCTTTGCTGCTTCGGCATTATAAGTTGTATGACTGACAGATGTAGAAGGCTAAACAAATCAATAACTTGACAGGACTTTGAAAGAAAAAAAGGAATAAGTATATCCATTAAAACCTGTGAAACCAATAGAACTGGACCTCTATATTAACAAAAACAAAGAGAAAAACAGGTTTTGAAAACAGTACCAATTGAATCTGAGGACGTTGCTGTACCGAAACCGTCCTTGACGCTTGTTTCTGGAATGCAGCACGCTGACGCAAAAGCTCAGGATCCATGACGAGCTCCGTCTGAAAATATCACCCGTTTCATCTGAGTAAAAGGACGTAACAGAATCGTAGAGGGAACTTAAGAACATCAATGTTTTGGAGCGACCTCCCATTCCTCAATGGAAAGGAAGCCCAGGAAGTCTGTTGGATTGTTCTGTGGAATAGATCTACTCTACGCCTGGCTTCTGAATGAAGATGCTCAGCATCGAAGCGTACCCGGAGCAGCCGACGCTCTAACCATGGCTGAGCTGAAACAAGCAGCCTCGGACAGCCTCCTCTAGGCATCCAACGAGGGAAGCCTGAAGCTTAGGAAAACTAACAGGACGACGAACATCTGCTGTTTATCGCACTGAACACCTCCGTCACGAATATGGCGACAAACTATTCAGGGGCTGGAAATATCCTGACAAAAACTATGGGATTACTTAATATAAGTATTGTATGTGTTTACAAAGCATGTTCTCGAGAAAAACAGTGAGTTAAGCTACTGAGAAAGTCCACTTTAGAACGAGTGCGGAAAATTCCTGTTGAAGATGGTTTCCAATCTGTTTAAAAACCAATTTATCTATAGAACACTTCTGAAAATATAAAACAATACCTCTGATTCAAATGAAGACACTTCACCAGCTCTGTAACTAACACTTCAGACCACAGGCACAAGTTACATACTAAAAAGTTGACCTTTAACTAGCTTTCACGAAAACTAGGGCTATCACCAAAGATGGATAGAATATGTTTACTTGATTTCAGGAATCTAAGAGGAGAAGAACAACGCTAACTAAAATAAGGCCGTGTTATAAAGTTCAATGCCTAAACACGTTAAAAAACCAAAGAAATCAATGATCAAGAATGTATTGATCGTCGAAAGATTTAACTGAAAGCTAAAGAAACCCGACGATATGTTAAATCGTTTTGAGAGAATTTTAGGAAGGAAAAGTGCCTAAGCAAAAGCAAATGAGAAAGAGAAACGTGTAGTTAATCGTGTCCGTACCAAAGACAGAACGAATAACAGTTCGTACCGCTAAGACACTAAGTATTACTAAAAGACATAATGCATAACGGTATCACAAGCATAAAAAAGCTAAACGATAAAGTTCTCGGCGTTGATCAATCCCTGAAGGATGCGTTATGCACTCGAGTTCACTAAGCATTGTTGGAGGTGATTGAGTGTATATCTGGCCTATACAATGACTCGCTGTAGCCTGCCGATCTATCGAGCCACTATTGCTATCCTCTCCAGACAAGTCTGCTACCAATTTGTAGACTCCGGAGGGATGGAGGGTGTGCTCAGATAGATCCCATATGTATTGCAGGGCACCCCCGACCACCGCGCTAGAACAAACATAGGGAAGAATAGAAAACAGAACGCACTATTTCCATATCACCATAACAAAAGCATCATGAGTTCACAACCACTGATGACCATTTCAATAAGTCCATCGGTCGAAGAAGATTTAAGATAAATCCTGGATGAAACGGATATGAAGAGTAGAGAGAAATTTGGACAAATGAACATTCAGTTAGAAAAAAACTAATGTTCTGAGAACACTTGCTTACTGAAAATAAGACTTCTGGAACCAAAACGTACTCCTAAGAGAAAACCTTGAGAACATTCAAGCTGAGGTCGCCTGACCCCTATCTAAGGGTGAGGAATGCTTTCTTAAAACAACATCGTATCGGCTAGTTTCTCATAAATTCTTCAGAATCCTTCGACTTCCTTGCACCTTATTTCAACTTGATGACTGAGACGAATCTTTATACTATATCGGTTAGAAAACACGAGTTAGTAGAATGCATAAGACTAAACAGTACTTAGACAAGAGGTGTTACTTCCTGTAGAAGAAGGATTTATCTAGCTGGCAGGTCTTTTAGTGCTACGATCTACGATAGACCTTCTACTAACCTCGGGATTGGTCAAATAAAATGGTTAGCATTTTCTTTGTTGGGTTATGCAAGCGTCTGGCTGGGTAGATTGAAGTCGACCTGAATGTTCTGCAAAAGGCGAAACCCGGCGAAACGTCAGCTTTACCGTCATAGAAGGATAAAATAACGTCTGGTGTTTGCTCAAAGAATATGAAGGATTATTTGACCAATGTCGAGGTTAACAGAAAGTCGGTAATGGGAATTACAACTTAAACAATTAATTAAGGTCTTCTTGGAACCGAAAGGAATATCAGACGAACTGGATCTCTCCATTAAACGATATGCACCATTTTCTGGGTCATCCACTGCATTAGCATGATAAAAACTATGCTAGAGTGCCCTGGATTCGAAAACCACGCTTCGGATACACCGGATGGACAGGCAACGCGCCAGTCCTACTCGCTAGCCCGTGGCTGGCTTGACACAGGTGCGGTGCGTTCGAGGGCGCGTTGAATTGGTCTCACTGGCGCCATCCGGTTCGGCGGTCATTGCTTAGCGTCTCCGCAGAAGTCTTATTTATATTCGTATTATGTTCATCTTTTTTCCTTTTTGTTACATTTTAGTATCCACTTCCCACGACCAACTTTCCGGTAACTTTGGCACTTGTCGAGTAATTCAATGTTTTCTTAATGAACAGAGACACGGCTCTTGACAACAAGATCTATTCAGTACAAGACTGTTTGACATTCCGGCGGTTTCGTCTTATTCAGATCCTGGAAAAGTAAAATTGAGACATGATCCACTTAATGAAACACTTTCAGAACCTCAGTGGATAAAACTTAGACGTTTATAAAATACTTGTTTACGTGGATACTTCAATGGCTCGCCTTCATTGGTTATTCGGGCTTCAACATAATTTCCGTCTTTTCGGAGTTCTGCTGGTCTAACCACTGTGGTTCCCTGGAGTCCGGAGGCCAGCCAAGCCAAAGATCGCCCCAGGCCCTAACCACCACAGGTAAACGCGGCCGTTGTGGATCAGAGGGTGATTTGCCACTGTGCGAATATGCATTCTTTTTTGATAAGCTTGCACGAGGTTGATAAATATATTTATTTTCGGCTAACGTTTCGACGTCTTCGTCTTCCTCAGAGCCGGTGATCCGAGTCGATGGTCCATGCTTGTTGTTCGCCTCGACGTTGCGTCTTCGCCTTCCTGTCGAGCCAGATCTTCCTCAGCGAGCCATCTTCTCGAATGAGGCATCCTCACTCAGTGATGCCCTTTTATACACGATGCTGATGGTAGATATATAATGACAATGTCCGGTGGTAATAACTTGTATTTCTTCCGGACATACATCATTGCGCACATCGTGCAGAGGTCGGTGTGTTATCAGCTAGCACAAAGCGTAGTAATATTTCGAAACCGACCTTCCCTAAACCTCGGTGTGACAAATCAATATGCATTCTTTTTTGATAAGCTTGCACGAGGTTGATAAATATATTTATTTTCGGCTAACGTTTCGACGTCTTCGTCTTCCTCAGAGCCGGTGATCCGAGTCGACTGTGCGAATAGTTTGACACTAGGACGGTGGTGGATCTTGGTACCGATCTAATCTTAGTTGGGCTTCCTGATGGAAACACCGGACTTATTCTCATCTTGGGAGGCCCTACTGAGAATTGAGTCCCTCTGCTGTACATCGCAACCCAGAACCATCTACCAGGCACGATCAGGCGGTACACCATTGGCAAGGTTTATAAAATAAGATAAAATAAATGTTTATGTATCAGGACGTTGGTTTTATAGTAAAATAAAAATTTATTAAGATATAAATGAAGATTTATGTAACAAATTTTCTCTGCTGAGGTTGTGGAAGTGTTTGTTCGACTCAGTGGATTGCGTGTCAGTTTAACTCATGCAGGCTCTGGTGAAGACGAAACCGCTGAAACGTCAACAGTATTGTCCTGAATCAATCCTGTTGCTAACAAACTAGTCTCTGCTCATCAGGAAAACAGTGAATTATTTGATCAGTGCCGTTCCATTATTCGTAATGTAATCGTAGGAGAAATAGACTGGCTGAGAGAAAGGTAGAACGAGGTTCTCAGTGGTGCAGTGGGTAACACGCAAGTCTCCGTAAAGGGTAATCGCGAGTTCGAATCTGGCCTTGGGTCCAAGTTATGCAAATATCTCACTATCATTGTGGTTGTGTTTCACATAGTATCCTGCCGTGAAAAAGGAAGTAGGTAAAAGTTATACGTTCTAAACATTTATTCCGCACAGTTATTGACTACGACTTGTGAGTTACCGATCTTTCTGAAAATTTTATATCTCTTTCATATCCCTGTTTTATTAGAAGCTACTTTACTATTCGACACTTTCCATGCGTTTTTCTTTTCTTTTTTATGTTATTTTTCAAGACTACATTGTGTTCGGGTTCAATCAATCAGTATCTTTTCAATGGTACTTCTTATGAGTAAAGGTGCAATGTAAATATGATTCGGGTTATTCTTTTCCCATTAATCAAATGCTAACTATGTGAAGGGATAAATAAGGAATTATTGAGGCGCACATATTGTAGGGTTAAAGCAAGTTTTTTTTTGACATTGGTTAAATCTGGACGGTGGAAACCGTCTTATTCGTATCTTGAAGTAATTTGTAAAATTGTTAGAAGAAGCAAGGTATGATTTCTAAGGGATCCTGGTTTAGTATTCATTGTGCTTCACATATTTCACGTTCTTACTAGATTCCTTAGTTCCATCGTTCCCTATAAATTCAGGAAGGTAAATCTGTTCACGCCTAATCAATAGAGCTACGATTTCATCGTAGTGTTTTCATGGCATTCATCCTGGTCTGGCAATGCATCCCTAGGATATATTTTTTTCTTTCAAGTGGAGGCCTAGTCCCTTTTTAGCAGAGTGTTATCACTTTCCAAGTTCTTCTTTGATTCTATTAGGCTTGCTCGCGAATACTTTACGGGCCCCATTGACGAGGTTTGTGATGACGTTTATTGAGTAATTTCTGAAATAGATGGATTGGATATCTTGGTGGTGTCATTGACATCAATTGGTGAACTATTAAAGCTGCTCTGTTTTTGCTTGTTTTGTAAGCGTTAAATGATTAGACGTATATTTTTCAATTCAGTTTTTTAAAT